AAGACACAGCATTGTATTTAATTGAGCGGATGGTTGCAGGGTAGCTGGTAATATGTTTATTATAATGGGTTACCGCAAAGTAACGCCTAATTCTATCAATTATTTAATCTTATGGCTTGTCTATCAATATTGACATAAATGTCCTTCCTCCCATCGCAGTAGCAAACGTCGTAACTTCGACGCTCGTGACGGTGTCTTTGATGTTCTTAATATTTTACGTCCGGTATAATATGAAAACAGGCCTCCCCCAAGGAATGCTACAAAGCATGGTCCTGAGCCACCTGCATCCATCCTTCCTGCATGTCTTACCAGGTCGTTACTCCGTATAGTTGGGTTCCATTTTTTGCATTCCTCTGTGTTACGCAGTGGACTTGTGAAGTGCTGTGATGATGATGATACGCGAGTAGGTTTTATAGGCAGGATTGAAACTGCTGGATTGGTCGAGGATTCGTTGGTAAAATTTAAATAACAAACCTTCGATCAACAATACCAACTAGATGTCGGGTCGGCGCAAGAAATCCATCTCAGTAAATAAGAGCGCACATGAGACGTGAGCTCTTGCACGTGAGAGTGTAGCTCGCAAGGCAATAACGGGAAAAAGAACTTTATTTGTTATATCTTAAGGTTGATTTCACACTAAATGTTATTTAATTTATGTCTTTTCATAGTTTATATTCATGCGGACAGTATTTAGCTATGATTTTGTGCGTGACCCGTTATCTAGTTAGTATTGTTGATCGAAGTAACAAACGAACTTACAATACACCTTTTTTGGTATAGAATAAGGGTGACAAACGAACACATAGTCCACCTGATGGTAAGTGGATGCTGTTGTCCATAGACCATCTACATTTATCCTCGATTAAGAATCAAAATTCAGTTGCGTTGTCACCTCTGAGAACTAAGATGGAATGCCTCGTTTCCAGTAACAGAATCTCACAGAATACCAGCGTAGAATTGCAGCTTAATACTGCTGTGTTTCGTATGGTGAGTATAGAGAACCGGAGACCCGTTTTACTGGTGTCGGTTTTACTGGTATCGAGGGGCATTGTATCTTAGTCCTCGGGGGTGACAACGTATCTCCATTTTGATTCTTGATCGAGGTTAAATGTGGATGTCAATGGGCCACAGCATCCACTTACCATCGTGTGGACTGTGTGCTCATTTCTCCCCCTTATTCTATTTTAAAAAAAAAACTTAATTACGTGGCAAAAGTTGATTCCCATTACTGATGGAATGAATATTTTACGTTGATATTCTTTGTACATTATTAAGAGGGTTGGTAAATAAAAGATCGATTAATTGACCGCTTTGGACAATTTTTTGTAACTACTCGAGCTCGAGGCCAAGAAACATTTTCAAGTGATCATTTCGGAGTCATCGTACGTGTTGTAAGAAGTTACAACATCTACGATGTCTAAGTGTTCTCATGTAAAAATTGTCGAATGAAATAATAGTATAATTAGCAAGACCAAACGATAGTATTTTTACTCAAAAAAATAAAATAAATTAAGTTAGAATACTGGAATAAATAAGCTTGTATCAAAAGGGGCTGATATTTTCTATACCTTGTTTGTCCCTTAGAATTTCACAGTAGGTATCAAGCAATTTTACCATATTAGCACCTTTTGATAGCTATGTAGATTTTAGATTTTGTATTAAGGGAAATATATCAAACCTGTTGATGTTCCTAATAAAATAATTAAAATAAAAAAATAGTAGGTACTTCAAGTCATAGCGTCAAACTGCAAATGTTCGAGTATACTTAAGCCAACTCATACGAACTATAAATCGTACCGGGTGAAAGCCTAAATCACGCTATCGAAATTTTTGAATTTTTTGCATAAATAGAACAAGCTTAGTACATGGAGCGTTAGCCGCTCCCCGAGCTCCGATCAGAAAACTTTCTGGGCTTAACTTCCATCTAAGGTCAAAAAATAAAAAGAATACCTAGGTAGGCACATCATCAGGCCATCGTAAATTTGGCCCTGGACTCTTGGTTCAAGTGAAGCATGTCTTTTATTGTCTATCTATTCTTATAGTTTGATGTAATTAATAGAACGCATATAAATCCTTATACCTTGGTCTGACAGAACGCACGTATTACTGTTACGGAAGTACCGACGCTCGAGTCGATGTATAATTTTTTGTTTCGTCTTTTGCTGTCAGTATACCCATATTTTGTAATTCATTTTGTGCTTCGATGTTTCCTAAATAATTCTATTCCTTGACGGTTGGGTTTAAGTTTGTTAAATTAAAAGAAGTTATTGTTGCAAATTTTTTTTTGTGAGACTTTTGTAGACTAAGGTCTGCTGTCATTTCTGAGGGGTTATAATGCAATTTTAGCGCTGCGATGCTTTCTTGATCCTTATCCTGCAACTTTGAACATCTTTGGATTAACAGCCTGGCCACGGGACATTCGCCGTAGCGAAAATTTACGCGGCGCGAACGGCGAGGCGTCTAACGACACTAAAACAAATGTATGAAAATGTATGGATCAAGTCCGCCAGTCGTCCGTGCAGTTTGCTCGGTAAATTTCGCCGGTCGCTTCTCCACTCGCCGCTGCGCATGGCTTGATCCGTACATTTCTACCTAGGCTGCACTAAAAGTATCGGGAATGGAATATTTCCACTGTTCCTGTTATATTAAAATCTTTTTAATTGAAAACTCCTTGGTTTTAAAAATCCAACACCATTTATTTATTTAAAAAAAAAAGATTCTCGGTCTTGTCACAAGGTTTTGTCAAACTTGTTTAATCGTTGAGAAAATGGAATTGATACGAGAAAATTTAAGAGCGATGATTTATTATGAATTTCGAAGTGGTTTAACACAAAAACAGTGTGTTGACCGGATGATTTCTGCATTTGGTGATGAAGCCCCATCCAAAACCACAATTTATAGCTGGTTTGCCGAATTTCAACGTGGACGTGTCAAGCTCAGTGATGATCCCTGTCAAGGTCGTCCAAAAACTGCAGTCACCCAAGAAAACGTTGATGCTGTGCGTAAGCTGATTGAGGAAGATCGACATGTGACATACCGCGAAATTCAGGCAACTTTAGACATTGGCATGAGTCAAATACAAATAATCTTACATGAACAATTAGGTGTAAAAAAGTTGTTTTCCCGATGGATACCGCATTCGCTCTGTGAAGAGCAAAAAGCGGCTCGCGTTACTTGGTACGTCAGAATTCTCGAAAGATTCCACGCAGGATCCTCAAATGCTGTATACAACATCGTATCACGTGACGAATCCTGGATATACGCGTACGAACCCGAAACAAAAAACCAGTCACGAGTTTGGGTGTTAGGAAATGAGTTAAAGCCAACAAAAATTGTTCGTTCACAGTGTTGCAAAAAAAAATGGTGGCCACGTTTGTCTCCAAAACCGGCCATGTTACGACTATTCCTCTTGAGGGACAAAGAACGGTTACTGCGGAATGGTATGCTAGCATTTGTTTGCCACAGGTCGTTTCTGAACTCCGTAAAGAGAACTGTAACCGCCGCATCATCCTCCATCACGACAATGCGAGTTCTCACACCGCACACAGAACAAAAGAGTTTTTAGAGCAAGAAAACATAGAATTATTAGACCATCCGCCGTACAGTCCCGACCTAAGCCCTAATAATTTCTATACTTTCCCTAAAATAAAGAATAAATTGCGTGGACAGAGATTTTCATCACCTGAAGAAGCTGTGGACGCCTACAAAACGGCCATGTTGGAGACCCCAACTTCCGAATTGAATGGTTGCTTCAATGATTGGTTCCATCGTTTGAAAAAATGTGTCAAATTTCGAGGAGAATACTTCGAAAAGCAATAAATATATTTTTTAATAGTAATGTTGTGTCACTTCCTTGATTCCCGAAATTTTCAGTGCTGCCCTCGTATATATTTGTTTTAGTCGCTAGGCGCTTCGCCGTTCGCGCCGCCGATCCCCGTGGGCAGACCGTTACGTAGAAACTTAGTCCATAAACCACCACGGCTTTACACTAATGCACGTCCATTAATGACACTTAAAATAATGCCACGACCCCGTGATCGATACTAATTGTATTCGATATTTTTTATTATGTCGATGCTATCCGAATCCTTGTTTACATTTATTGTGTTAGGTCTTTACCAGTGAAATTGCCCCTTTGTTGTACTGGCCACTTTGAACTTTAATAGCTATTGCTTTTTTTCCTTGTTAATGGACTCGCACGGTTGTGTTTTTACCAGTGTCAAGTATGATTAAATTATCCTTTACATTTATTTGTTTTAAAACTTATTTAGAATTTCTTGTTGCGTCACATCGCAAAGTACTGGGAGATTTTGACGACAGCTTTAGCCAGCAGACAATCGATGACGGTAATACAGCAAGGCGCCTCACCAGACTAAATAGCTTGAGGTTCATATTACCATCGAAGCACTTGTTTCTTAACGCACCACTTTTACGTATCAAAATACAATTCAAGCATCATTCCGTCGGCGGTCAGCCAAAAGTTGACTTGCAATTTTAAATTCAAATAAAGTTTATAATTTAGGAGTTTTCTTCCTTTATCAAAATCAGTTATTCACTTGTTTCTTAGGTGTTTTATTTTTTCTGCATCATCCATGTTTATTTTTAAAATTTTCGTTTCGGGCACTGTTTGACTTGGTTACGTTAATTCATATAAATACTGTGTTTAAAGCTTGAGTTTGTCGAATAGCATCCAATACTCACTTGCAGGTAATAATTTTACCCAAAATTACCTTTTTTTGCCGATTTAGCAATATGATAGTAAGTTTCTACGCGAATCTTTCGCTGTGCGGCACTCAGATCGTCTCATATTTGTAAAGCTTCTTTTTTTGAGCCATTTGCCGTAAATGATGTTATATTGTTTTGGTACATCAAATGCTGACGTTCATCATTATTAAGTTTACTTGTGACATCAAAGTTTCCCGAACGAAAACCAATGAACCAATAACGCACAGTTTGTCCGATAGTAGTTTCAGTTGTATTCTTGCATTAGGTGAACTAATATGATAATTAAAACCATAGGTCACTACTAGGATAGAACGATATAATAAATGTAAAAAAATCTGCTAATTTAATATGCAGTCAGTATGCTACGGTAGTTGTCGACGATGTGATGGGCTGGTGAGGTTTTCGCAACATCGTTTACTACGCGATTGTAGGACTGACCTGCCGCCATATTGTGACGTCATGACTGTCAATTCAAAGGATAGGTAGGGTGAGCAAAACAAATTGTTTTCAAATAATATTTATTTACTAAGAACCATGAACGAAGAAGTATTAATCTGAAGTATTGACTGAGCAGTCATCATTGTCGTCATTATCATTACCGATGCTTTCCCTTATAAAAATGGAACATGGATTTATGAATTTAAAATATTCCACCGAAAAGTATCAATATTTTAAATTAATATTAATAAAAATTATTACGACTTCAATAGATTTGGTAATACTAAGACTCAGTTAAATAAAACTGGAAAAAATGTTATTAATACGCAAATTAATTTTCTTTGCAAGCCGTACTTTACAAGTAACGGTTGACAGATCGCGGTCGTTCGAGGTCATTGACGTTTCTATTCCTATTTGAATCGCATTGTGTCATTGAAATTGCGTGCCGTTTCATGCACAATAATTTATGTTTCGGAACTTATATTATCCCCTCAGCCCTATTCCGTCAAAATTCAAGCGGTCGAATTTGACCGCGCACACAGTACTTTAAACCATGAAAACTTATATTTAGAGACTAATTTTCTTTACCGCCCGCTCGGGATTTGCCGGGCGCATGCGATTGCATGCGAATTTTGAGGGGACTGGGGGGTTATAAAATAACACGAATTTTTTTAGAATGGTCTTTTGTATGTATCATATAATCAATGGTATTTTGTAGTTGTCTATTGCCCTGACCTCACGGACGGTAATATTCTGTATTTTTTGTTTTTTTCGCAACCAATATTTTCCATCCTTACCAGAGCTGTCCAGCCCTAAACTGAATACAGGAGTGAATTTAGGCCCTCCCCAACCCATTAAACCAAGCCCTTCTTGTCCTAAGGTGACGACAGACATAAACGACCTGGACAAGGACGAGGTGAACATAATCTCGGGGGCTCTGGAGCTCCGCAAGAAGACCGTGTCGGACGTGATGACGAAGCTGGAGGACGCTTTCATGCTGCCTATCACCAGTGTTCTCGACTTCGAGACCATGTCGGAGATCATCAAATCAGGTGAGTAAGGATGTTGAATTTACTCGATTGTGTCAAACTGTTGTCTGTCAAACTGATCTTATCAATTTACGTTGTTTAAATAATTACATTTTAAACTTTATCGCCTGTTTTTGCACCCTTAAAGGTGATTTTTTTTTTCAAATTAAATGGGATCACCCTGAAGTGTAATACATTTTTTTATATAGGATAGGGTGACAAACGAGCACACAGTCCACCTGATAGTAAGTGGTTGCTGTGAGATCTACATCTATACTCGATTACGAATCAAAAAGCAGATGCTTTGTCACCCGCGTGGACTTAGATGGAATGCCTCGTTTCCAGTAGAAAGGGTCTCCCGATCTCTACACTCACCACACGAAACACAGCAGCATTTAGCTACTATTTGACGCTGGTATCCTGTGAGAGCGTGGTCCTTCCCCGGTCCAGCCGACCCATTCGTGCTACAACTATACCTGCATAATATAACTGCAGCATGGCTCTACCACGTATGAATATATAATACAATATTATTTTTGTACACCAAGGAAAGTTTATTATCACAAAACTAAGCAAATATTGAGGGAAAAACAAAAGGCAGTCTTATTACTACACGGCAATCTCTCCTAGGTAAACCGGTAACACAAAAAATTTTAAATTAAAATAAAAGAAAGATTTACGGGTTGCGACCACATATATCAACTTTTGCACGATAAATACAACGTTCTTTAGGTGATAGATTGGTGACCATAAATAAAAGAGGAAGAGAGAGGGGTTAAAGAGCCAAATAGTGTTCCTTAAAAAGGATAACCTTAGTGTAATAAAAAAGCATAATTACCTTTATGTAATAAAAAAAGCATAATTGATAACTTCTATTTAATAAAAAGTATAATAACCTTTATGTAATAAAAAGAATTATTGAATTGGTTCTCAATTGACAAAGATTTCGGGTGACATACTTGTACCTACACACAAAAAAAGTACATACCCTCGAATTGAGGTACTCCTTCCATTTTTAAAGTCGGTTAAAATAGTAGTCCGTTTTTAAACGGGAGTGTTTTAATTATTTTAACTATAAGTTATCACACCATAAACTTTTCTACGTCATTCTTTATCTAATGCATTCGGGAAACTGTGTGATAAGCGACCAATGGAACTTTATCATTGAGACGGACTACTGCATATCTATTATTTACTATTATGGTCATAAATTATTACTTACTAGTTAGTACTAGGCACGTTGCTGCCGTAGAAGAAATAATTGTGGAAATATCGTTTTAAATTTGAAAGAGTTATGTTGTAAATATCTCCGAAACATAGCTGACTTCAACTTGATAAGACAGGTCTATTTAGCTTCGTGTCGATGCATACTCACCTATTTACTGCATCACTTCCTAGGGTGGTGCTTCTAAAACAATAATGTTCCCACTAGAATGTGTACTGAGAACTTAAAAGCGCTTGACAAGCGTTACGATTTCACTCGGCTACCAATCTAATCAGATCATACAATACCTACCTTACGCCCGCTCTAGTACGGGGCTAATTAGATCAGATAATATCAGAAGTACTGCCTTATGAAAAAACTACTTTTTCCTTTAAAACAAAACCAAAAACAATATGCAATAGATAATAGTATCAAAGACAAAGATATGCTCTTTTATTTTAAACCATAACCTGGCAATGTTTCTTAGAAAAAAAAAAAGAAATCACTCTGAACTTTCGGCGTTCCACGTGTCGTTTTGATAAAGGTGCTCCATCTTTTTTATAGAATTTTATAATTGTGTCTGGACTAAAAACGAAAGTATTATACTTTTTTATATTCCTTGTAATATAGTGAACACGTAGATATATAATTTGTGGTATAAAAAGTGAAAAGTAAATTGCCAAAAGTGCTTCAAAATCTGGAAGGCCCATTATGGCGGCTGGGTCATAAATGCGTTATTTTTCATATTCTCATTTATTTTTAGTGTAAAATGTAAGTAAAAATAGTTTTCTTATATATTTCAAATAACTTGACGTTGTATTTATTTCAAATTCACACATAATTATTTTTGAAATATTGTTCTAAATGTCACACAGATAAAATATTATAATTTTTTTTATATTTCAATATTTTGGTATGAGTAACGAATGGAAACATATAAAACATAAAAATATACATATTTCCAAACGTTTTCATATAAATTTCTCCAAAAACAAAAGTGTAGAATTCAAATTAGTAGTAATTTTGTCACTAAAATTGAAGTATATGGTACTACTATGCTATATAGGGTAATTTATGTATTTTATTACAATTTCTAGCAACCAAAAATAATTTTATTCGATAGTTTATACATTCAACAAGAAATCCTGTAAGTTTTATCCATAAATATTGTCTCAAAGTGAAAATAGAGCAAAATTTGCAATATAGCAAAAAATTTGCTAATTTGCAAATTTTCCCGCCATTACGGTCCCGAGCGAACGGGAGTATAACATGTCGCGCGCTGTCAGAGCGAAAGGGTTAGGCAAACCTTCGATACAAAGGAAAGAAGCCTACACATGCATTGTTAAAAAAACTGACTGCAGAGAGCAGTTTTTTTTTTTTTTTGCGCCCGAAGCAAATATGGGCAACCCTCCGGAAAGCGGGGGAGGGAGGTTGAGAATGCTCATAGCATACCACGCAGCCGGCTGCGTGGTTATGTGGAGACTTTTACCCACTAAACTCAACCTTTTTGGTAATTAGCTTAACGATCTGACTAGAGATCTCTAAGCCGTATACGAACGCGACCCTCCTTGGCAGAAAGGAGGGCGCACAGAGAGCAGTTCTAAAGATAGCCCCTTTCCGACCTTTCATGTGTCCTACACATCAACTTGGCATATAGTGTACTGTCAGTCAGTTGTTTATCCTGAATATCATATTAAAACTGTATACCGAACTTCCATTTAACTTAAAATCCATAGACAGGAGAAGGATGTACTTAGTTTGTGTATACCCTCAAATCAAACACGCATTTGTGAACAGATTTTACATATTCTTAGGACCATTCATATATAAAATCTTGTAATATATGAAATTAATTCAAAATATGTTGAATACTTGCAACATACAGGCATAATACCTTGTGGACCAATGGACCATCTCACTAGCATACATTACTCGCGACGACGTCATCGCGCACGCTGTCGTACGCTAATGAATCACTATGTCGAACGCACAGAGTAATCAACGCTCTTCTGAGGGCTGCATGCACCCAATGATATTATAAGTAGAGTTGTAGATAGGTTACCTACACAGTATTCGATCATCAAAAACGGCACACTGACGCAGCCATAAATAAATAAATATTGCGATAGCACACTACATTACGATTAGACGTTAAAGTAGGATGGCATGATTAAACTTTCGCAAGCGTAAAAGAGACAAATGTAATTTGCGACAATGCGTGGTCTTGGTAGTAGGAACGATGTAGAATAATTAAATCAGATATTACATTATACCGTTCACCGTGATTTATGCCTAAAACGCGATTAACTCATGAGTGCACGCAGTAAAAGTAATAAAGTAGTAAAAATGCATTAAAAGTAGGAAAATAAAAAAGTATAATTGATTTTATTAAAAATTTATTATCAAATAAAGTGCTGTAATAATTATTTACATACGAACGTATATACCACTTCGTTACGCTACAAAACAGATAAATTGAACTTATTAATTAATAATGACATAGTTAATTTACCCTTCAATAAAACAAGAATTATATGTACTCAATTTGAATTACGATACTCATAAGAGACCTATCCGTTTTTTATATTCTTTGATCTGAAACGATATCACTTTCTTCTTCTACTCTTTCAAACTCACTCATTGGGGTATTTTTATCCCTCTCTATTTTTTTCTGACAATATATTTTAAAATACGTAATTTTTGGATTCGTAAACAATACGAAAATAAATTAAAGAAATAGTAAACAAATGAAATATGATTCCTTATGACTTTTGGAAACCTTTCTTGTGTAGTTTGTGCAGAATCTCTACACATATGACGGCATTTTCGGTGCAAAAACAAAACGCGAATTACTATCAACGCCGTTGTCAATGATGCGACGATAGCGCGACGAGTGGCGACGACTGAGCTCAGGTTTGCTAATTAGCATAGTTTTAACGTGCCACTTGCGGTGCGCCTATAACCTATCTACCTCTTTTTATAATATCATTGGCTGCACCTAAGAACGCCAGATCGAAAGACCAAAATCTCTTGAGAAATGTTGAACATGTCGAGATTTTGAGGTTGTTGTCGCTGTTGTAAAATAAAAAGATTCTATACGTGGTAGAGCCAAGCTGCAGCTATATTAGTAGTATAGTTGTAGCACGAATGGGTCGGCTCGACCGGGGAAGGACCACGCTCTCAGCCAGCGTAAAATAGCAGCTCAACGCTGCTGTGTTTCATATGGTGAGTGTAGAGAACAGGAGACCCTTTTTACTGGAAACGAGGCATTCTATGTTAGCCCTCACGAGTGACAACGCATCTGCATTTTGATTCGTAATCGAGGACAGATATGGATGTCTATGGACCACAGCAACCACTTACCATCAGGTAGACTGTGCTCGTTTGTCACTCTATCCTACAAAAAAAAATTTAGTAATTTTGTAGAGATGTATGGAGAAATCTTCAATAAACTACTCACCAAATCACTTTCTATAAAAGTTTATTGTAAGCAGAGCAGTTCAGACAATTAAATATTTCACATTGACAATCGTCTTTATAAATTAGCACAAAGCGTAGCGCAGAAAGTTATTAATAGATTTACCACATAAAATATTACGTATTTTATTAACGGACAGAAGTTTATTTTTCTATTTAAAATACATGCCGCCACAATTTAATAGGCTACAAAAGACTTAACATGGTTGACACAACTAATTTAAGTACACTTAATTTTTAGGTTGCCTCATGCATTTGCCATTGGACTTAACAGTCGTGGTAGCTCAGATGGTTAGGGTTCGCAGTAAATTTCACGGTACGCGAGCAAACCGGGTTCGATCCCCGCCGGCACCAATGATTTTGTTAATTGTAATTTTAAGTGCTGATTTATCACATGCTCAGCGGTGAAGGAAAACATCGTGAGGAAACCTGCATGTCAGAGAAATAAAAAAATATTGAGACATGTGAAGGTCGCCAACACGCATTGGGGCAGCGCAGCGGACAATTCCCTTGCCCTGAAACCCTCTCAGAAATGAGCGGAGGCCTAGCAGTGGGACGTATATAGGCTGTAACTTTAACTTTTTTGCTGCGTCCACCATTTTGGAACCTTCAGAAGTATTCAAAATAAATTTAAAATTCGAACAATTTATACTAAGTACTCAGTTATTATTAAGTGAAAGGCAGCTGTGAAGTGAAGAAAAACTGTTTATCTGGATATTTTGAGTTTTGTCTGGAGTCTGGATATCATTTATAATATCCGGATAATCCACACTAATCCCGACCATCTGGCAACCCTAGCTGCACTCGAATTTGATATATTTGCGGACTTGTTTACGATTTTGCGAAAGTAATGATATATAATTTGTGTTATTGCTCTTAGCGTAGTTTATACGCCTTTCGAAATTATTAATTACCGTAATTGGATTAAAAATACACACTAGCAGAAACGCGAAAGCTGATTCCACACAAGCAAAGCTGCGGGGAAAAGCTAGTATTTAATAATATTTCTAACCGGCTAAAGTTTTTTCGTTGTAGGTTACTCCCGCATCCCGGTGTACGAGGGAAGCCGCGGCAACATCGTCACGGTGCTCTTCATCAAGGACCTGGCCTTCGTCGACCCTGACGACAACACCCCGCTGAAGACGCTCTGCCAGTACTACCAGAACCCGTGCAATTTCGTCTTCGAGGATGTGACGCTCGACGTCATGTTCAAACAGTTTAAGGAAGGTAAGGTTGGTCGATGGACGTGATGGAATTGACTCTCCGAAGGGTAAATAGAAGGCCTTTTTTAAATTTTGGAGCAAAGAAGAGTTCATCACACCGCTTCAATGGAAGACGGCGGACTCCACATGTCCACAATTTTTTTTTCATAAACGTCCACGCTGTTTTTCCTCACCGTCGGGATGTGTCAACCTCGCAGTCAACAATGAGGATAACAGTAAATAATCCACGGCTATATTTGCCACCAAGGCAGCTCCACCTATAAATGAGGTGAAATATTTTAAAATTACATGGCGGGGAATTTAATTTGCTAGCTAATGTTTCTATCTATAATATTTGTTATATTTTATATTAATTCGATCAGAAATGGATATACCAAACTATGGACATTGATGAGGGTAGACAAATAAAAAGAGTTAAAAAAATGTAAAAAATAATAGGGAGCAAACCACTGATGCATTTTTTATGTATTTATAATATACTCTAGAAACCAATAAAAGTTTATTTAAAACGTAGCTTCTCAATTAAATATTGGGTGCGTTTGGCAGAAAAAAGCGCTAGCAAGCGCTTGTAAGCAAAATGGCGATCGTAAGCGGTAAGCGCTGTCAAATCGTAAGTAGCTATTTTCCTCCAGGACACGATGTTAGTTTTAACCGGAGAACCTAACCTAATTTAAATATATGTTTGTAAAGTGTTCATATTAAAAACTTACCAATCATGAATTTTTAATAACATGTATATGTCTATTCATAACATTATATTACTTAAAACTAATATTGCACAAAACAAATTATAAACTCTACTTCAAAACAAATAAATTAAATAAGCAAAATGGCGGATTGTGTCAGCGCTACTGAAGTAGCAATCGTGTCCTGGCCGAAAACTATTTTAGCGCTTATAAGCGCTTGCTAGCGCTTTTTTCTGCCAAACGCACCCATTGTGTAACCAAAAAATTTCATGTTAGTCTCAACATCTAGTGAATAAAAAAGTTATTAGCCCTTATATCTTATTTATAGGATAGGATGACAAACGAGCACACAGTCCATCTGATGGTAAGTGTATGCTGCCTATAGATATCTACATTTATCCTCGATTAAGAATCAAATGCTCAGTCCTCAGGGGTGACACCCCTGAGGACTGAGATGGAATGCCTCGTTACCAGTAAAAAGGTTCTCCGGGTCTCTGCACTCACCATACGAAACACAGCAGCGTTAATCTGTGAGAGTGAGAGTGAGAGTATTCTGTGAGAGCGTGGTCGTTCCCCGGTCGAGCCGACACATTCGCGCCTCAACTATACTACTAATTTAACTGCAGCATGGCTCTACCACGTATAAAACCTGCTAAGAGAAAACAAACTTTGGTTGCTAGGACATATCTCAAATTTCTTTAAGTTGTGGCAAGGAATATCCTTCTTGTCTTGTATGAAATAGTCTCAAATGCCTTATTAATTTCATTTTTTTTCCGTGGGTGTTTAGAGGATATGGAATTAGATACGGGTCGAATATTCGTTTCATATTCGAAATTCGGCGGCTTTACCGAATATTCGTATTCGGCCGAATATTCGGTTAAATCACCGAGCGTTCGTTAAAGTGGCACTCAAAGTGTCTACTGTATTGAAAGGTACGAATTGAGTAATGCCATGTCTATCATAATTTTACTGTTGAAAGTATATTTTATTTATGGGTTAAATCTAGCACTATAGCGTTATGTTTTTGTAGCACTGTAGATTTATTTCCAATTATAGCAAATATTATATATTTAAAAAGCTTGATAAAATTTTTTTGGAATTAAAGAAAGGAACATTACATTACATTAGCACATTTTACTTTACTTTGGTCGTCAATTTCTCTAAAATAAGTCCAAATATTAGATCTCCTGCCACTCATTTTTATCATATAATTTTCAATTTCACTAAGAATATAACAACGAAATACTTTTTTCTTTCTCACAAAAATAGTCAAAACATTAACATGTGCCGGCGATTTTCTCAGTACTAGATTATGCAATAACATGTCAGGTGTGGCGGTGGAGCGAAGGGCAGGGTTCGGCACTAATCCCGCGCGCTTTACGGTATCAAGTTTCGACATAAATTGGCTAGGTGCCGACGTGATCCTGCCGAATATTCAGTTATCCATATTCGGCCCATCTTTGTAATGGAATACTTCGAAAAGATCTCATGGCTTTCGATAGATGGCGATATAATCACCTCATTTATGCTAAACGTATAATATCTAGATTGACGACAGGGAGCAACGACAAAGGTGTAATACGTTCGTCGTCTTCTGAGTGTGACAACTAAAGCATATCATCCCAACGGGTGATACCCACCTTCAGCAGTGGATGTTGGTATGCTGATGAGGAAGATGGAATCCGATTATTAATTAAGTATTCGGTTCGAACGTTGTAGAGCAACGCTGCAGCTATATCATGGTTATAACCCGAATGGGTCGGCTGGATCGAGGTAGGACCGCGCTCTCACAGAATACCAGCGTGAAATAGCAGCTTAAAGTGAGTGTAGAGAACCAAAGACCATTTCTACTGGAAATGAAATGAGACTTTCTATTAGTCATCAGGAGTGACAACGTAACTGCATTTTGATTTTTAATCGAGGATAGATAGATTACCGTGTAGTGGCGGTTGAGAATATCCACTACCCCATATCTTCCCGTGGGTGTCGTAAGAGGCGACAGAGGAAGATGGGCAGCAGCATCTTCCTGATAACAGCAAATGTACGACAAAAAAACTGCGGTTGTCAACCCGCTCGCCAAGCGTGGCAACTATGGCAATATACCCCCCATGAATAATTACACAAATAGACGGCCCTCAGTCCCCGGCGGCCACGCTATTCCTGGCTACGGTGGCGACCATGGTAACGGCGGGGCAGGGGGTGCTAAGAATCTCCGGTGGAGGTTCGGTTGCCAACTACGACGACTCGACCTGGCAACATTTAACGCACGCACCCTGAGAACTGACAAGAAGATCCTGGAGCTGGAAGAAGAGATGGAATATTATAGGATTATAATATTCTAAATAATAAATTTGGGATATGGCAACGGAACCCAAGGGGCCAGCAGCTGGCCGACTTCATGGAGAAAGAGGGACTTTTCATGATGAACTCTTTCTTCCAGAAGCGGCCCCACAGAAAGTGGACCTGGTCGAGCCCCGACGGTTCGACAAAAAACTTCATTATGACGACCAGACGCCAACTGTTTAGTGATGTCTCAGTGATCGCAAGGGTGAAAACTGGCAGCGATCACCGAATGGTTAGAGGCACACTGAACCTAAACGTTAAGTTGGAGAGGTCTCGTCTAATGAAATCAACGCTCCGTCCCCCTCGTGCTCTAATCCCGAATCCCGAAACCTTTCAGCTCGAGTTACGTAACCGCTTTCAGTGCCTACAAGATTGCAATGCATTGGACGATATGAATGACAAGCTCGTGTAGACTGTCCATGCGGTCGGAGCTAAGTTCTGCAAGACCCGCCGTAGAACACAAAAACTCTCTGATCACACTCTTAATCTCATAGCTGTTAGACGGGCGATGAGGCTGCAATCGTCAACAGATTTGACAGCATACAGGCAACTGAACAGACAGATCTCCAAATGCATGCGGCGAGACTTACGCCACTTTTGATACTGCTCGTATTAAAGAAGCGATCGAGCGGAACCAGGGCTCCAAAGTCTTTGCCAGAGATCTGTCTGCCAGAAAGAGCCAACTGTCAAATCTGAAGACTGAGTGTGACAGCATTGTTTCCGGGACACCTGATATTTTGAGTGAGATTGAAAGGTTCTATAGGCAGCTGTACACATCATCGTTGGAGCCACACGCAAGTGTGAGTAACGATTCAAGAGCAAGTCTTATCCGACACTATTCCGATCATATCCCGGACGTCTCGTCGTCGTCGGAATGCCTCGTTTGCAGTAAAAAGAGTCTCCGGTTATCTACACTCACTATACGAAACAGAGCAGCATTGAACTGCTATTTTACGCTGGTATTCTGTGAGAGCGTGGTCCTTACTCGTGTATTCGTGCTACAACCATAATATAGTTGAAGCATGGCTCCACCACGTATTCCATAATCGGGGCCATAGTCAGTCGAGACTAAACTGTCCTGAATGGGCCCTCGTTTTCTTTAATATCACTGTAATTTATCTATACAAATAAATAATTTACAATGATAAAATAAAAATCCGATGATATCCCGGACGTTAGTCTGAGCGAGATAAGAATGGCTCTCCAGCACCTTAAAAACGGCAGGGCCCCAGGCGAGGATGGAATTACAGCGGAGCTTCTGAAAGCGAATGGAACACCGGTACTTAAAGTCCTTAACAAGCTCTTCAATTCCGTCCTCCATGGTGGCACTACTCCGGAGGTGTGGAGCAGAAGTGCGGTGGTCTTGTACTTTAAGAAAGGCGACAACGCTCTCTTGAAGAACTACAGACCGATTTCCCTTCTGAGGCGCGTCTACGTGCTGTTTTCGAGAGTCATTACGAATCGTCTCGCACGCAGACTCGATGACTTCCAGCCTCCCGAACAAGCCGGTTTCCGAAAAGGCTTTAGTACCATAGACCACACACATACCCTACTGCAGGTTGTACAGAAGACCGAAGAGTACAATCTGCCACTTTGCCTGGCGTATGTAGACTATGAGAAAGCCTTTGATTCCGTCGAAATTTGGGCGGTGCTACAGTCTCTTCAGCGGTGCCTAGTTGACTGTCGGTATATCGAAGTGCTGAAGTGGTTGTATAGTAGGGATACGATGGATATCCTAGTACAGAACCAGAGTACGAAACCTATCCAACTGCAGAGAGGTGTAAGACGAAGACAGGGTGACGTTATTTCCCCGAAACTCTTCACCGCTGCATTGGAAGACGTTTTCAAGCTACTGAACTGGAAAAGATACGGTATTAACAGCAATCGCGAGTACATCACTCACCTTCGATTTGCCAAAGATGTTACTGATCTGAGACGTGGTCCTTCACTGCTGGCCGTATGAGGACGCTCAAGGTCGCTCAACGAGCTATGGAGAGGGCTATGCTCGGAGTTTCTCTGCGTGATGATAGACTCAGAAATGAGGATATCCGCAGTAAAACCAGAGTGACCGACATAGCCCAACGGGTTAGTAAGCTGAAGTGGCAATGGGTCGGCCATATAGCTCGAATAACCGATAACCGATGGGGAAAAAAGGTATCGAGTGGCAGCCTCGTACCGGTAGGCGTAGTGTAGGGCGACCCCCCACTAGATGGAGTGACGACCTGGTAAGATATGTAGGATGGAGATATAAGGATGCAGGTGGCTCAATCCCCGTGCTTTGTGGCATTACTTGGGGAGGCCTATGTTCAGCAGTGGACTTGTGAAAGGCTGTAATGATGATGATAGATAGATAGATGTAGATGTCTCTAGATCACAGCATCAACATACCATCAGGTTAACTGTAAAATGTGAAATAACTAGATAATACTAGTACTACTAAAACTAGATAACCTTACCAATCCATTGAATTCCCAGGACACAAAGGACACATGGCGTTCGTACATCGCATCAATAACGAAGGGGAAGGTGACCCGTTCTACGAAACGATAGGCTTGGTCACCTTGGAGGACGTCATAGAAGAGATGATCCAGGCGGAATTCGTGGATGAGACTGATGTATTCAGTGAGTTTCCGGCTCGAAGGACCAAAAGGTCATAAGTACATATTTTTTTAATTTGTCGTTCGTTTTACTTTAGGTTTCCTTTTATTACATTCGACTTTAACTTTTAATAACAAGTAAGCCATCAAAAAAATTGGTACCGTTATTTTATATTATGCTTGGTTTTATAAAACATTTTCTCCACTTTAGCACAATAGCCTCAAAAAATCACACAAAATTACATTTTATTAATTTTCATGAGGAAAACTAGTTGCTTAACACAAAGTAACTTGGTCTGGTTAAAATTTTTGGTCCTTTGAGCCGGATGCTCAAAGGACCAAAAAATTTTAATGTTTCTATATCGTTTGCAGTGGATAACCGTACGAAAAGGCGCAGGAACCGTCCGCAAAACAAGTTGCAGGACTTCGCCGCGTTCGCCGAACGCCACGAGAACCAACGCATACACATATCGCCACAGCTCACGCTCGCCACCTTCCAGTTCTTAAGTACCAGTGAGTATGGTAGGGGGTTGTGGTGGCAGCCACATGTGCCACGAATTGGGTGCTGCTTGTGAGAGCTTCTCTGCTTAGGTAAATTTTTACGTTTAGTTATTTGTCATCGAACAAACTTCAGTTTCTTTTACCCGCTTTTGTTAGCTTGACCTGTTTGTACATATAATGTATGCATGTGGTATGTTTGTGGTGTATACATGTGGTAAAATTAATAATTTTGTACAACCGACTACAATTAAATTTAAATTAAATTAAATTAAAATAAAATGAGAACATCATCAATGTAGTCGAAGTCAATTAAATACGCATTATTGAGGATAACTCAAAAACTACTGGTCAGGTCTTGATCAAATTTAAATGGGACCACATGAGAAGCACCAGCTTTCGAATAAAAAACAAGAGTCATCAAAATCGGTTCACCTAGAAAAAAAGTTCTGAGCCACGCTGCAGCTATATTATGGTTGTAGCACGAATGGGTCGGCTCGACCGGGGCAGGACCACGCTCTCACAGAATACACCTTAAGCACCTTAATGCTGCTGTGTTTCGTATGGTTAGTGTAGAGAACCGGAGACCTTTTTTACTAGAAATTTGGCATTCCATATTAGTCCTCAGGGGTAACAGCGCAAAACAGGAATGCCACAAAGCATGGTCCGAAGCCACCTGTATCCATCAGCTTCCTGTATCTCATACCAGGTCGTTCTCCATCTAATGGGGTATCGCTCTACACTTCACCTAGGCTTCGCGAGGCAATCAAGAGCTATATGGCCGGCCCATTGCCAAGTCACCTTACTAATCGGTTCTATTTTTAACCGACTTCAAAAAAAAGAGGAGGTACTCTATACAACTGTATGTTTTTTTATAGAATAAGAGTGACAAACGAGCACACAGCCCACCTGATGGTAAGTGGATGCTGTGGCCCATAGACATCTACATTTATCCTCTATTAAGAATCAAAACGCAGATGTGTTGTCACCTCTGAAGACTGAGATGGAATACCTCGTTACCAGTAAAAATGGTCTCCGGGTCTCTACACTCAACACACAAAACAGCAGCATTGAGTTGCTATTTAACTATAGTATTCTTTAAGAGCTGATGCTTCACCGGTCGAGTGGACACATTCGTGCTACAACCATAACATAGCTGTAACGTGGCTCAATAACGTAAAACATATTTCATTTTATAACTTAAGTGCAAATATATTCCATTACTGGGCCTATCTTATCTTCTTCCAACAGCCCGTAAAAGACCAGTATTAAACATTTCCATAGAATACTATAATACATACATAATAGAACGGGGGAGTGGGCGGAGCCCGTATAGCCACTAAAATGTCACTAACATGTCAGTTCACACGTATAAACGTCAACACGAGATGTGTTTTGATGTTAAAATCGTTTCCAAATTTCGCATGCAAATTATTTAGAAAATGCCAAATTGCACGCTATTTACAAATAAATATGTATTAAAATCCATCTGCCAACACAGCGAATCGGGTTTGTAGTAGTGATTAACTGATAATACGACGTAATTGCTTGTATGTGTGCTCCCGGCGACGCCTATCCTCGTACAAAAAGGTTGACAGCCATTCAATTGTATATTATAGTATTCTTGAAGCATGGCCCTCCTTTTGTAAGGATCTGCCTTAAACCTTCACATTTGGTTGGTGGATGTAACAAACGTAAGCACTTGTAATGAATTCCAACATTATTCCCGCAGGCGTGGACGCGTTCAAGCCGGACACGGTCTCGGAGACGGTGCTGCGGCGGCTTCTGAAGCAGGACGTGATCCAGCACATCAAGGTCAAGAACAAGAGCAAGCGGGATCCCGCCACCTACGTGTACCAGCAGGGCAAGCCGGTGAGTTCGTAAGGACTGGTTTTCTGCAGCTGAGAAGAGAAGAGAATTGGACTCCTGGCCGCTTCTTTCTTTCTTTATCGCGCACACTTTCTTTAAATATCTTTGACGCACACATGCGATGAGGGCATTTTACTGCCACCAGGGCGGCGCTGCTTTAGAATAAAGAAGAATAATTTTTATTTTATTTTACATTAACGTATTATGAAATTGATCTGTCAATAAATAATAGTAATTGTAAATAAACTTTCGATACTAAAAAGATAACAACAAAATTTTCGAACTAAATAAATAATTAAATTAAAAACTATCGAAATTAAAATAATACGTACCCAATTAGTAATATTTATTTATAGATCAATTCCGTAATATGTTAAAGTTAAATAAAAACAAATTGTAAAATATCAGTGACAAAGGCATCTATTACGTTCACCTGTTACACTCTATTTTTTATCCAGATGGTAAAAAAATCACCCGGTATAATAATAAGTTGAAAATTATTCTATGCGACTGAAGTCGCGGACACAGTTATAGTCAGTAATAAGTCTAAAGTGCTTAAGGGGAAATATAACCTCAAATGGCTTAGCAAGATCCTCCGTTATGCCGAAAGTATTGCAGCAATAATTTTGAAATAAATATATGGTAAAGTTGAGTATTAATGTTAAGGATTATGTTACACGAAAACACGATTTCGTAAAAAATTTTCTCGATAGAAAAAAAAATCCAAAGTTACCTCCAAAATAAACAATAAACCGCTGTTATTCATAAAATACTTTAAATAAGATCATGAAACTTTGCATACTAACTGAACTAACTATAAAGCAGTGCTTATGTTATTTACTTTTTTTAAAATGCCATTATTTTCACTGTAAAAAGAAATTACCTAAACTATCGGCCTTTTGAAGCGTGATTCCTGCCGCACGGTCACTTCGCTTCGGCCTTTGAACGGGGAGGTTGTGTCGCTTACGATCAGAATATACATTACGCAACAGGACGACGTAAAATTAAAATGGGAAATAACCGTCATAAAAATAAGAAGCGACTGGCTTGACGTTAAGAAACAGGCATAAATATGATAAACCTAATGAAATAAGTGTCTAACGACCTTTCTACTTACAGTATTAGTGATTACAAACATGTCGGTACATAGCATACGACGCGCGGGCAAGTGGGGACGAAATTAGAATTTGAGCTGACTTACTCTATCCCCTTAACAGTGTCTGTCTTTACACGTCCTCGACACATTTTATTCCTCAAACGTGCAGGTTTTCTCACGACGTTTTCCTTCACTGCCGAGTGTGTGATGAAACAGTCATAAGTGCAGGCGGGGTTCGAATCCGTTTGCCTTGAAATTTTAGAGTGCTCATTCTTTGGGTTATCATGGCTCTTACCAACGTTAACCTTTATTAACCAAAGAAACATTGCGCTCTCACAGAATATCAGCGTAAATATCAGCATAATGCTGCTGTGTTTCGTATGGTGAGCGTAGAGAACCGGAGACCCTTTTTACTGGAAACGAGGCATTCCATCTTAGTCCTCACGGGTGGCAACGCATTTATTTAAGTTTTGTTTCTTAATCGAGGATACATGTATCTATTGTCCACAGCAACCACTTAGCTTCAGTTGGACTGTGTGCTCGTTTTTCCCACTTACCCTATAAAAATATATTTTATACGTGGTAGAGCCATGCTGCAGTTATATTAGATGTATAGTTGTAGCACGAATGGGTCGGCTCGACCGGGGAAGGACCACGCTCTTGCAGAATACCAGCGTGAAATAGTAGCTTAATGCTGCTGTATTTCGTATGGTGAGTGTAGAGAACCGGCGACCCATTTTACTGGAAACGAGGCATTCCATCTTAGCTCACGGGTGACAATACATCTGCATTTTGATTCGTAATCGAGGATAGATGTAGATGTCTATGGGCCACAGCAACCACTTACCATCAGGTGGACTGTGTGCTCGTTTGTCACCCTATCCTATAAAAAAAAAATAACTTGATTTTGAATGATTGATTGGTTCGAATTTCTTGTCTGAACAACTATTAACTAAAGCGCTATTTTGAAAACCGTTATTTTTAGAGTAACGTTTTAATTCTTATTCGAGGTTAGAAATGGATCTCAATGGGCCACGGCATCCATTTACCATCAGGTGGACTCTGTGCTTGTTGATAACTCGTCTTATATTTTGGAATACTTCATCACAGGTGGACTACTTCGTGCTGATCCTAGAGGGTCGCGTGGAGGTGACGGTGGGCCGCGAGAACCTCGTCTTCGAAGCTGGACCCTTCACGTACTTCGGAGTGCAGGCGTTGACCCAAAACATTGGCGTTGGTGAGTCAAAGGTTTACTATACTCCGCATCAACCAATTGATGATCTAGATCTAGACATTGAGATAGATGTAGACACAAAAGTCAGAACTCGGGTTCTGACTTTTGTGTCTAGATTTTTTACTGACTCCAAAAAGGAGGAGGTATTCAATTCGACTGTTTGCTTTTTTTTATGTATTACCTCAGAACTTTTTCCTAGGTGAACCGATTTTGGTGATTCTTTTTTTTATTTGAAAACTGGTACTTCTCATGTGATCCCATATAAACTTGATCAAGATCCGACCAGTAGTTTTTGAGTTATTCCTAATAATGCGTATTTAATTGACGTCGACTATAATGATGATGTTCTCATTTTATGGGTATTGAAATCGGTTGTACAAAATTTTTAATTTTACCACTTGTTGAAAGAAAACTTTAATTCACGTATAGAGTAGAAGACACTAATAAATGAAATAAACATTAATTCATATATCTCAGGTAAATACCCGACGTTTCGGGAAGTCGGCAGTCTGTAAAAATGTTTATGTCACCTTTGATAATCCATAAGTCAATGACTTGGTGATGTTTTAAGAGAATCGCATATCATCCCGCGGGTGTTGCCAGAGGTGTCGGAGGGAACAAAACAGAAGATGAACGGCAGTAACTTCCTGACCGCGTCTGGCAAGCGTGGCAACTGTAGCAAATATCCCGCCTATCAGGCAATTTGCTGGGGACTTTTGGTGGGTTGTAATGCATGAATTAATGATGAATCGTATCCTCGAAAGAGAACACCGACTCCTGCCAATTCATGATGATATTAAAATTAACAGAATATCCTTATTGCAATTGTGAAAATAGCTGGGATTGCTTCGCAAAAACATATCTACATAATATTAAACAAAATTTCGCGTAAAAATTACTTTAAAAGAATCTCAAACATTCTGTCCTTTTTATCGTTTAAATTCAAAACGCGTGGTAATGCATTATTTTGATTGATTTTACTGCGCACGCACACATTCGTAACCGTCGATCGGCAGACAAAAACGTTGTTGGCCAAAAGTCACATTCAATTTGGGATAAGTTCAAATAAAAGTAGAAGCCTTATTGACTCGTATTTTTAAAAACTGCAATAACGGTATATCATTATTTATATATAATGCATTATTTTAACTGATTTTACTGCGCACGCACACATTTGTAAGGGTCGATCGGTAGATATAAACGTTGTTGGCCAAAAGTCACATTCAATTTGGGATAAGTTCAAATAAAAGTAGAAGCCTTATTGACTCGTATTTTTAAAAACTGCAATAACGGTATATCATTATTTATATATAATGCATTATTTTAACTGATTTTACTGCGCACGCACACATTTGTAAGGGTCGATCGGTAGATATAAACGTTGTTGGCCAAAAGTCACATTCAATTTGGGATAAGTTCAAATAAAAGTAGAAGCCTTATTGACTCGTATTTTTAAAAACTGCAATAGCGTTATATCATTATTTATACATTCGAACTTAAGTTTAAATTTGGCTACTCTTTAAAAAAATAACCCTGTGTAAAGAATAACGGTCAAATTTCTACCTTTTAGTATCACTGATAACCACAATTGTAATGACTAATACGTCTTGTACTCCAGCCGAGTCCCCGACCCCATCAGCGATGGGTTCCCTCCAGAACATCAACATGGACTCCATGCTGCGTCACACCTTCGTACCAGATTACTCGGTGCGAGCGATCACGGAGCTCTATTATCTCACCGTTAAACGGTAAGTTTTTTTTTTTTATAAATTTTTGCTGAAATATCATTTTAAATTTGGAAGAGTTGTTTGATAGGGAATGATGATACATTTATTAAACGATATGTAACTCTCAAATAGACTAGTCGGTACGATATGCGCGCCACCCACTTTAAGTTAACTGTACTATGCCTATAAACTACGCAAGTGCAAGCAATAGACTGATAAAGTTTTACCGTGATCTGATGAATGTATATATATATATATATATATATATATACAATATGTAACGAAATTAACGCACACCCTCAGACACCCCAATTAGTATATTATGTTATAATCATAATACATACACTGAATTTTTAGTTCAGCACTTTTATGCACTGATTATTTATCAAATTAGTTATACTGATTCCGGAAGAATGTTGTGGTCACAGTACAAATCCACGAACGTAAAGACTTTAACGTGCTTGAAATAAAGTTCATTTTTCTTTATTTTTTTTGAATGACAGAATTAGTAATAATACAAATAAAACTATACTCTTAAAAGTCTTATTGCCTTAAGTTGCGGTCCATTACAGTTTGTTTTGACTGTACAGATTTAGTGTGACTGTAATTTACGTAGTTTTAATTATTTTTGGGATAAAAAATTACCTATATTAAAAATGATAGGAATGGATTCAGTAAACGATTCTGAACAAACTACTTTCTCAAAGTGCGTTAATTATGTTACATGTTATATATATATACCACCCATATAATCACAGGATTTTTGTAACATGTTGTATATACACCCGATTGAATTGAAATTTAGTGTCATTACTTATTTCGCAATGTAGACGCTCACTCAGAACGAATGTTACGATAATCCCATATAAAAATTCGTGATATTTGACGGTTACACAATAAAATATTATCGTGCGACCAACGAAGTGAGCGGGTGTTGCTAGTTTTTATATATTAGATAAGGTTGTGTCTTCTCTGTCCTTCTGATGAGACCTAATGGACGATATGGGGTAGTGGACATTCTAACACCACCATTACACGTTAAAGAAGAAGAGCAAACTTTAAAAAACAAATACATTCTTGTCTTTGACTTCCATCATCAGGAATTCCGACTTTTATGTGTCCCTGGTGTCATACACTCATCAAGTTGCTGCTAAAGGTTAGTTTATCGCTATGGTGTCTACTACTGTGGAAACTATGGACCCTGAATCAGAGATCAAACCTGGTTTGGACTTGTTGCGTCCCATTCGATAGAAGTTTGTTTCTGTGTCTGATAATTTTGAGGCAACTAAAGATGGCAGCCAAAAGTTAAACAGATGTTCTAAAATGGCCCAGGTCTATGTACACTACCTCAAAAAAAAAACGAGAAAAATCTGTGGGATTCGGGAAAAATACAGATAATTCATTTAAATGTATCCTGTCGTTTTCTTTTCTGAAATATTAGTAATCCTATTAATTAACATTACTAATATTCCCTTTAACCACTCCTGGTAAGCTGAAAATGCTTGTGTTAGGAGTGGTTCACGATAGTAGTCGAATGGTAGATTCGAACCCGCGACCTTTTAAGTTCGCGGTCCGCGCCCTGCCACTAGGCTACTGTCGCTTCAAACAATTGTTGTCGTGGTAAACAATTGATGTTTATCAATTATTTTTATCAAATTTCAACATGGCGTCGCACCGATTTAGTTACTCTGTGCTTATAGACAATGACAATAAACCATAAAGCGACCATTGATCATAGAAAGAGAACTGTAAGTTGTCACAACAGTGTCAAAAATACATGAAATAAACATGTCAAACGTCATTAATCAATAAAAATGGCAGCTTATCGCCATGACGGGTTTTTTGTTGTGTGTTGCAATTTCAAGCGTAATTTCCCGTGCTGTGCCAGCAAACAAAGTCATTATAAAATAATTGGACACTTGAGAACCGTTTAAAATGTGTTTCACTATTTTTGACTATAGTGTACCAGGACCTGGCCCAAGCTCCATACATTTTGGAACATCTCATTTTCATATCGGAATACCACGATGCAACTACACACTGAGGCCACTTGTTTAGATGTGCTCAATATCTATAAGCTAATGAAGACTTTGATTTCTCCAAAGTGAAGGTAGAGTTGTGAGAAGAAGTGCAGTGAACACCGTATATTGCTTTTAATTTAATATTTGTTTATATCTCTGGCTATAACGTATAGTTTATGAGGGTTTTTTGTAAAATCAGTATAGAAGATGTATATATAGAACAACTTTTGTTGCCATGAAATACAGCAACGATTTTATTTCTACCAAAACCTTTTTAAATATTACGTATAGGATTTTATTCTCCATTTAAGATTGCTTTTATAATTTAAGATAATCAAGGCGTAAAATGATCTGCACAAGTGGTAGATAGATCAAAAAGTATTCCATTTTGGTACATTATTTGATTCTGCATCCACATCATACTCATAATTTATGTCAACTTATTGAATGCTCACTTCACAACTAAATGTTCTGTATAAGGTCATAAAAACGAATGTGCTTATGACCACACGACTGAAATAAAACTTCTTTAGCTCCATCTGTATATATATATAAGCATATATGTATTAATTTTCTACAAATATTTAAATTTATTGACGGCTTCCTTCCATAATTTGTTATTAATCACCCGAAAATTGACAAAACATGAACTGTAAAATGAATCTACAATTTTATTCACTTGAAACTTAGAATATTTAATGTATTTAACAAATATTTAATTCATAAAATTGTTCAAAACGAAATAAAATTACGAAAAATAACTGGCGTTGAGAGAAAGAGAAAAAGAAAATGTGCGCGCGCACTGCTCTCTCTTGCTTATATCCCCCACTCAACTTCCGTTTGCCTTACCTGATCACACTTTTCGTAACGCTTTCGTCACGCGTTCGCCAGCTTATTCCACAAGTCAAGCGTGCGTAAAGAAATTTTACTTCAATAAAGTTGCATTATAACATCGTGTTACGTCATGCTTTGTTTCAGCTCGCTGTACTTGGCGGCGAAGCGAGCCACTCTAATGGAGAAAGGCGCCCTATCAAAGGGCGCAACGAACGAACAATTCGACACGGAGGTCGATAAGGTGAGAAAATTATTTATATCAACCTTATGTATGGCTGCATTGAGCTTAAATTACATTGTGGATAGTCTGTGTAAAGCTGTTTTAGGATTTGATCGCGCGGGATTGCGATGATGAAACTCTTTGATGTTAAAGTAAAATTAATTTGCAACGTAAACACGCCCCACGGCTGGGCAACGGTCTCCCTTCATTTCCGAGAATTATTGAGTAATTTGTACACCGTAAAATTTTTACAGTCATGCATGCTTCCTCACGATGTTTTTCTTCAACGGTGAAAACGTGGGTAAAACTTGAGTTCTAATTTAACAAAGATATATATGTTTATATAACAGTTATCTTAAAAATAGCGCCATCCGAAGAACGAATATCAGTATTTTGTCCTTCCTTAACAATTTTTGTTGCTTTCAAACTTTGGCAAAAACGTTATCAGAATATACTAAAACCAAAAGAAAATGAAACTTACTTGTCGTAAGCTCAGGAGGCATTTTAGGTCATAGTCCCTGATGCTTTATACAGGCTGTTACAAAAAGTGTTACCAGCTGATTAATTTTTATTTTTTGACGTATGCAGAATGGAACACAGTGTCACCAACTGATATATAAAACCGATATTTTACTCTACCTTTAAAATCTATATTTTACTCTACCTATAAAATCGATATTTTACTCTACCTTCAGAACTATTGGCGCCATCTTTAAATTTTTGGCAGAAATGCTTTTAGAATTTACTTAAAGAGGAAGGTACACATTTATATATACATACATACATATATATATATATATATATATATATATATATATATATGTGTGTGTGTGTGTTACTTTATACAGACCGCTATTCTGGAAATGAACCTTACCAGTCGGCCTTAGGGTGCATTTTAGATCACAGTCCCCGACGCAGTATACAGAATGGTACAAAAAATGTTACCGGCTGCTTAACTTTGCTGATTTATAAAATCACAATATCAAACGTATGACAACAGCGCTATCAGAATTTACGGAAACTTGAAATACACAAATATGTAGCATAACTATATACTACCTGGAAATAAAACTTACCAGTTAGGCTTAGCAGGTGAATGTTAGATTACAAGCCTCGTTACCGGTTTTGGTATTTTGCTTTTGAGATAATGCTGTTACAAAAATATGTCATCGTCTGATTTAGTTTGCTTCTGATTTATACAGCGTGGAAGAAAGATTATCACCAGCTGTTTTAATTTACTTCTGACGTATACAGGTTGGAAGAAAGTGTCACCAACTGTTTAAGCATAAGCATAATAGCTTTGACGTATACAATATAGAATAAAAAGGCTGGATCAGCTTATTTAGTTTGATTTTGACGTATATTTGAAAAAACGCAGCAGAATTAAGCTGCTATTTCACGGTGGTATTCTGTAAGCGTGGTCCTCCCCCGGTGGAGCCGGCCCATTCATGCTATAACCATAATATATCTGCAGCCTGGCTCCACCACGTATAACTATAGTTCCAACCTGTATATGAGAGAGACTAGGCGATGAACCCTATTCTTTTCCTCCTTATCCATAAATCATCCTATCCTTTCCCCTTTAGAGACTCGGAAAATCGTCAAGTGGTAACTTAGCTCTATCCCACTCATTCGGAAAACCCTGTCACTCACGTAAACTTGAAGTTAACGAAGACGAAAATGGATCTACTTCTCATAACAATAAGGTCGCATTTTTTGTGTTTGTAGTTTTTAGTCGTAAGTCCGTAATTTCCCAATAGTATTGCAGACGATATTAAATCTACTTTCACTAATATTAATGTCGATTTTTATGTACTTAAGATTGTTTCTTATATTGTAGTTCTATATAATACATATATAAATTTTTTGGCACATTATCCGCGATGAACTATTGAACTTATTTCATTTAAATGTTGCATAATCTGTGCAGTTTAGTCCAAATTGGGAGAGAAGATAGTTTTTATCCCGATAAATGACCCTCAGTATTTTTTTATAAAGATTTTAAGGCACAAAGGGTCGTGGGAGAGGGCAGAACAACGTTTTCCTGGTCAGCTAGTACACACACACACACACATACACACACACACACACAATATATATATATATATATATATATATATATATATATATATATATATACAACATGTAACATAATTAACGCACTTTTACTGAATCGATTCCTATAATTTTTAATATAGGTAATTTTTTATCCCAAAAATAATTAAAACTACGTAAATTACAGTGACACTAAATCTGTACAGTCAAAACAAACTGAAATGGACCGTAACTTAAAGCAATAAGACTTTTAAGAGTGCAGTTTTATTTGTATTATTACTAATCCTGTCATTCAATAAAAATAAAGAAAAATAAACTTTATTTCAAGCACGTTAAAGTCTTTGCGTTCGTGGATTTGTACTGTGACCACAACATTCTTCCGGAATTAGGATAACTAATTTGATGAATAATCAGTGCATAAAAATATTTAACTAAAAATTCAATGTATGTATTATGATTATAACATAATATACCAATTGGGTGTGCGTTAATTACGTTACATATTGTGTGTATATATATATATATAGTGTTGGCTCAGGATCAATTTTAAAAGTCAATTTTGCTCCCCTGAGCCTTATCATTGTCCTGGTTTGGTGCACCGCTGGCTTTTCCAGGAAATTTGCTGACCTTGTACTGATAATACTGTCATCTATCGGAGGCCGTGACATAGTTTTGGAATTTTCTAAAGTCGCCACTTACGTCACCCACGGGACGAAATGGAACGTCATATATCTATACATCTATATGTAAATAAAATAAAATGTATATGTAAATGAAGTATCCGTAAGTAATACAGTTGACCCGTGATAATCCGACAAACGTTTTTATCAAATTATCAATATTGTACTGGTCTATAGAGTACTACCACAGTCTCCTGGTAGTCCGGAACTTTATGAAAAAGAGTACCTTGTAATCCGACAAATTACACATTAAATATAAAATGATAAAAGAATCATGTGATCAACAATGAATACCTGAACAATAAATAATGAACGCCCGCTAGGACAAGGTAAAATAGTACGCGTCAAGCAAAATTCTTGGTGGCGCAAACTAGTTACAACTTGTTTGTCCACGTATTCGCAAAGAACACCCGTTACACCCGTAGCGGATTTATATACCTAGATGTTATAGATCAAAAGGAACATTGCCGTAATCATCTGGTAGCTCAGTCAGTGCCTTTCTTCACATCTTTTGCTAGGAAATTCTTTACTTTTTTGGGTCCGTATTTATATAATAAATTACACCAAAAATTGTCTATTTATGAAGTCAACAGATGGTCATGTAAAAATAGATTCGTGGAATATCTTCAGACTCTTTCATACACAGATACTGAACAATTACTCCAAATTATCTCATAAATATTCACAAGCATGCACGCAAACATGCTAACAGTCACAAACTCTCATACTTACGCTACAAAAATACGTGGTGTTTATTTTTTTATTTTATATTTTTTCTCTATATAATATTATTTCTAATCATAAGTGATCTCCTTATAATATTATACTTGTTGCCAAGAAAATTCGAGGAGGGGGGGGGGGCTGTTGACCAGTAATACGGGTATTTGAACCTACACGGGCATCAGTCTCCCATGAATGACAAAATATTGTTAAAATAGAGATGTAACACTAATGTATCTTCCATGTCGTTTGTGGTGAGAAATAAATAAATTATTATTGTTATTATTATCATCTCGGATTACAGAGGGTGCCGGATTAGCGGGGGTCCATTGTATTGGTATAACTGGCTTCTATTAAGCTTGACCATTTTTTAAATTTTTGTCGGTCTGCCTGTTTTAGCCAACCTGCTGTTCAATCAGTCAATAGATCTGGAGGTTTGTTAATCTAACGCGGATAAAGTCGCGGGTGAAATCTAGTATGTAATATAACATACTAGTATGTAAAGTAATATAATATATTTTTACGTGGTAGAGCCATGCTGCAATTATATTAGTAGTATAGTTGTAGCACGAATGGGTCGGCTCGACTGAGGAAAGACCACTCTCTCACAAAATACCAGCGTCAAATAGTGGTGTAATGCTGCTGTGTTTCGTATGGTGAGTGTAGAGAACCGGAGACCCTTTTTTACTGGAAACGAGGCATTCCATCATAGTCCTCACGGATGACAACGCATCTGCATATTGATTCGTAATCGAGGATAGATTTAGATGTCTATGGGCCACAGCAACCACTTACCATCAGATGGACTGTGTGCTCGTTTGTCACCCAATGCTATAAAAAAATATATGAATTTTATTTTGGTAGTGTCGAAAAATCTGGTCGATTTTATTTTATTTATCTTAATTTGCTTCCTTGGTCTAGTGGTTATAAAGCCCGCTGCTGGTCGTGAGGTCTCGGGTTCGTCTCTGGGATGAAGCCAAAACCGGTTTTGGGTTTTTAATGTTGTGTCGGCTTGCCCATCTTATCGAACTATGAGAGTGAGATGACGCATACGCATAGTCTAGTCTAGTCTAGTCTCCTTTGAGATAGACTGTAATAGTTATTATTATACTTTATTTATTTTCAAATATAGAGTAATAATGTCCTCCAGACCGAATTTCGGTCACAGCGGCCAGCCTCAACGGAGACTAGCCATCGGCGCAGGACGGAATTATAGTGACCAAGTGTATGTGTGAACACACGTGCACTATCTATTGCCTCACTCTCATAAGCCGATGGGACGGTAATCAGACTCGACCGGAGAGATGTCAGGCGCAGGAATAACGGCTTTACGTGCTTTCCGAAGCACGGGGGTGAAACACCGCCAACTTCCTGACTCCGGGCAGCTACTGAGAATTTTTTCACGGAAAATCTCAATAACTGATTTTTAGGCCCGACCTGGGATTCGAATCCGGGGCCTCATGACCAGCAGTCGCACTACTACAACCACAAAACCAACGAGGCAGTCAAATATAGAGTAATATGTGTGGTATCTGATGCCGTATGGCATATGCCAGAAGAAATCCA